TCTCAAAACAGGTTTTTAATCGTCAGGTATTTGTAATAGTTTCTATGTCTACTTTCAGAGGCTATGACACGGCTACCCAAGCAAAACAACTAAGGGAGGAAAATGTATTTTTGTTCACAGTCTCAGAGGTTTCAATCAAAGGTCACCCGACTCTAGTGTCATTAAATCCATGTATACTGAGGGGCAAGCACCCTGGTGGACAGACAGCAGGCAGCAGAATGCCTGCAATGGCTTAGGGGATTACCTAATGGCAACAACATAACAAGACAGGGACCGACAAGAAGGGCAAAGCACCTTTCGAAAACATACCCTAGTGACCAACTTCTGCCCATCAGACCCACCTTCTACTTTCACCACCTCCGATTATGCCATCATAGTATGAATTCACCAGAGCATTTATCGATTGATTAGGTCAGAACCACCAAGATTCCAACACTTCCCAACAGCCCATCTGCCTATTCGATGACAACTAAGCACCTCATAATGAGTCTGTGGGGGACAGTTCATATCAAAACATAAAAGCTTCTCAAAGACCTCTGGAATATTACCCATTTGCCCTCTTCTTTACCTCAGCACCTTATCTCAGCAAAAGAAAGGAATTTGTAGTCATATTATTATTATGTACTCTGGTACTTAAATGCCAGTATAGCTGTAACATCGCTCTATTCTAGGGAAAAAAGGAAGTATAAGAACAAGAGCCATGTCTTTTGTTGCCTATAAATCTAGCATCTGAAAAAATTGTAGCAACAATCAAATTGAGTATGTGAGGCTAACAAACTTTTTTCTGACTTTTTGGGTAGACAGCGTATGAGCATTCTATGAAATCCATCAGTTTCTTAGGGAGGATATTTCTGAGGGAAAGTGAGTGTGGTTTCAGGCATTGTACCTCCCAGATAAACCCTCTTCTTTCTTCCCTCTGGATAAACTACTTATTCATTGAGTCAAAGTGGGTTTCAGTTCCTACACCAACTCCCCAGGCAAAGCCAGGGGAGAAAGGAAAATACATATTAGCATACACAAAGTACAGAAGTGTTTTTTGCCCACATATTCCAGGGGTTATATTCATAGCACACCTCTGAGATTGCATTAATGCAGTGATTAATAAAACATTACTGAGCAGGTTGCCTACAGAGAGGCCTACGCATGCTTGTTTATAGTTGACACATCACTCATCATCCCTGAATGGAGAATTTAGTAGAGCTGCAATCCTTCAGCTGCATATGAATGTGGCTGAGCAGGGAACCTATTTGTCTAGGGACCCAGCTGCTTTCAGATTTATAATGGATAGGACCTGAGAAGAAGTGGTTGCTGCCCTTCCCACAATCCGATAAGCTGTTACACAGAGATAAACATTTGCATTGAATTAAGCATGTTCATCTATTTTTCAATCTTAAGTTTTAATTGCCTCTCTCAATTTTTAGGGCTTCACTTTAAGTAATGCTAACTATTTCTAAATTATACACAGATATTAATAGTTTTAAATTCTACTTTAAGGGAAAAGTAAATAAGAAAATTCTTAGAGAGTAAGTTTAAGCACTACTTTAATTGATTGTTAAATTGTAATTGTGTTAGACTACATTATATATTACTGAAAGATGCCTATGTCATATGGCCTAAATATAACTACTTTGTATGAAATTATTAGTCAGCTTTACTGATAATCTGAATATCTAAGTTTTCAACTAATATAATGTTCAATTTATATAGCATAAGTCCTTTGTGTTGAATACTTAATAATAATAATGTCCACACTAAAGGAAACTCACAGCATTCTTACCTATAGAATTTTTTAAATGATGGAGCTACTTGGCAAAAACAGAAATACTTTTCTGTTACTCTTGACATATATACACATTTTAAGATTCAAGAATGTGACTTGAAAACCAAGACAACATTATTTACTTTGCAATCAAATAATATGTTAGTTGTCTAACTCATGTTCTCATAATATACAGTAAATATTCAAAAAATATTTGCCTGAGCCAATGAATCTCTGAATCTTTGAAATAGGACAATATGCAAGCTGCCCTTGACCTAAAAACCTAGAAGTAAGTGTATGTCCGCTTATGGTTTCATAGAAATCCCAATGCATTGCTACTTCCAAACCCAAAGAAAACATCTTTGCTTGCTTGTATGTGGTTTCTATGCCTTATCGAAAATGCTCAGGGGCAGACTTATTTTAGATTTCAGATTCTTGGGAATATTTTAGAATATTCACAGATTCAAAATAGAATCCAAATCCAAACATGAAGCTCATTTGTCCTTCATATACACATTATACTCATTCCTTGAAGCAATGTTTTAGTTAATATTCCTGTGCTTGGATTGTAGCCCATTACATGTACTTAGGAGTATACTTTTATTGTGCTATGTGCTGTATCAATCCTCAAGCTATAGATAAGATAGCATTTCATATTTTTAAACTTAGAATTCTCAAACTATAAAAATTCTCAAACATTCCCTTATTTTGTACCAGTTAACTGTAGTCTTATCATGGAAATATGCAAAGAGGGAAGGGCACCTGGTAATTAGATAGTTAATGAGATTAAAACCTTTCCTCTTTTACACCTTTTTGCCATCCTTTGAGTTAAAAGAGTATAGTTTATTTTTAAATGCAGTTGTCATAGATGTGTGCAACCCTTCACAAAACATTTATTGAATATCTTCTGGAATGTAGGCAGGTTATCAAGTCCTAAATACACAAAAATAGCACACACACACACACACACACACACACACACACACACACACACACACTCCCCACCTGTCAAGCAATCATGCCTGTATGTGCTATCACCTTTAAAAGTCATGTAATCATTCCCCTGAGATGTTCTTACTTTTCAACAGGCAATTAGGCTTTCAGCATTCTATAAGGTCATCTTTCTTCTTTCAGGAGTCGGTGTCAAACTCCCTTCACATTCAAAATCTGTCAGTATTTTTCTAAAGATACATAGTAAACCTTCTCTGAATTAATTATTCTCTCTGATTAGACGAATAAAACCATGATTTTACAGAGCAATTCCTGCATCTTTATTATTAGTGATAACGATGAGTGCCTTTGCCTCTTAGTGATGGCACTTACACTTCAAAGAGAACTGTATACAAGATCAATGGAACCAGACATTGATATGTAACCACAATCTAAAAACAGCTCTCTGGCACCAACTTTGAAAAGAAATTATTGTTTTAAGAATTCCTGGTGCCCTGTGGCAGAGTGCCACGGGCTTGAGGTGAACCTTGAGCATTCCAGTGGCTGCTGCCATCATCACAGAAACTCACACCTAAACAAATGAACTTAGCAAAACTCCAATAAGTCTGTGTCTCAAGAAAACATTTCATCCTTTGCCCAAGTGGTGAAAGTACCAGGAAGCTCGACTTTAAAGGAGACGTGTCAGAAATGTTGAAGGAAGCACCAGACTGACCCCATCTTGAAATTCTCACTGGATCTTTTTTCTTCTTAGTACTTTCAAAGCCCTAAAGTCTGTATTATATCATTTATTCCCAAGGAGCACATAAGGAAGGAAATACAGAAATATAACAGCAATAGCTAATATTTCTTGAACAAGTTTCAGCAAGCATACTGCACGGAAGTGTGGGAATTTGACTGGGAAAGGTAAATACAAAAAGCAAATAGAAAAATACTTCCGGTGTTTATCCAATGCCTATTGAGTCTCAATATCATACGTATTTGGAGGGTAGAAAATCAGAGCATTCACCAAGAAGTAACAGCAGAAGCAAAAGGGAGAGATACTCATGCATACCTGTCCCTCCCCTAAAATGCCCATAGTCCAATAGTCCAGCAAAAGATTTGAAAGCAGGTGTGGGGCAAAGTTGACAGCCATGGTAAGCTGTAAGACTAGAGCACACTCCAGGGACAAGGTCACGGAGCCCTGAGAAACACTCCAGTAAAGAAGTCAGTTTTTAAACCAGAAGACAAGAGAAGGTTTATATACTGGTACAAAAACGGACCACACTATACAGTAATGAAATCTGTACATTAGAACATCTCTTCCAGGAGACACCGTTCAGAATATTAACATTTGCTAATTTATCTGAGAGTGTGCCAGTACTGTCCAATCTTACAATTCACTGTGTAAGTCCAGAACCACGATCATTGCAATCCTTGTGAGGAATTAAATATAAGGCCACAAGATGACTTGCCAAATACTAGCCACAAAAAGCAGCCACTAGCAAACACACCTAAGCTGAGTGATTTTTAACTTGAGAAAGGGCTTTCTTTCCCTAAGTCATAAAAGGGTGTTCTGAGAGCTGGTGACAGTTCTACTGAGGCCACTGCCATGCTGTGCTGCAGATGACAGGAACTCAGCATCATGAACAGAGAGGGCTGTGGCTTCAAAGAGGTTTAGCAGGGAGATTCCTCAGTTCTTATGGCTAATTGAAGAGTTGAAAAAAGTGAATGGCCAGGACACTCAATGGCAGATTTCTGACTTGAGAACCTAGATACAGATATAAGAGTACATTTATTACATGTAGACTTTGGGGGTATTTGAAAGACATGTGGCTAAAACTACTCAACAAGTCATCAGTGTTGGATTTTAGAAATCATTTAAATGGCAGTTCAAGCCACAAACACAGGGGAGTTAACACAAAAATGGGGAATAAGAAGTGGGAGGGGGCATAGTTATTAGATTTGAAGTGTATCCAGAAGTAAAATAAAAACATAAAGGCAGTTAAGTACCAGAAGATAATAATAAATATATCAATAAAGACCCATTAAAATAAGTATCAGAGTTGGTTTGTTAAATTTATGAACCCATCAAAGGTCTTACTGAGAAACATCTATATAATTATTGTTGTTTTTAAGTCATTTTTTGTTCATATAACTTTTATCTCTTTAGGAATTTGGTGAAGGGCTCTTTTAGCCCAGCCCTCCCTTATTTGAAGGACAGGCCAAAGATTCCACTTGGAAATGAAAGAAGACTAGTAAACAACATTGGCTCCACCCAGTGATATTTCCAAGAGATACAGAAACGGGATTCATGAAGATGTTGACAAGACTCCAAATTCTTATTTTAGCTTTGTTTTCAAAGGGATTTTTACTCTCATTAGGAGACCACAACTTTATGAGGAGAGAAATTAAAATAGAAGGTGACCTTGTTTTAGGTGGTTTATTTCCTATTAATGAAAAAGGCACTGGAACCGAAGAGTGTGGGCGAATCAATGAAGACCGGGGTATCCAACGCCTGGAAGCCATGTTGTTTGCTATTGATGAAATCAACAAAGACAATTACTTGCTACCAGGAGTGAAGCTGGGTGTTCACATTTTGGATACGTGTTCCAGGGATACCTATGCATTAGAGCAGTCATTGGAGTTTGTTAGGGCATCTTTGACTAAAGTGGATGAAGCTGAATATATGTGTCCTGATGGATCATATGCTATTCAAGAAAACATCCCACTGCTCATTGCAGGAGTCATTGGTGGTTCATACAGCAGTGTTTCCATACAGGTAAGACTAACAAGTGCTACTGCAAACAGCTGTGTCTCTTTTCTTTTAGGTTGCCGGGGAACAGAATTAGATGGTGCTAATAATTTCATCAACGAATGATATTAACAATTTAATTTTTAGTTTCTTAATGATATGTCTTAATATAGAACATTCAACCACTGAAATATACTTTGAAGTATATCACATAACAAGAATAAACTGCTCCCAAGTTTAGTGGCTTGATGCAATTATTTATTAATATAAAATTTGAAGATGAGCTAGAGTGAATGAGTAGAGACTCAGTTATAGAAGGTTCTGCCCAGGTTGTCTCCTTTCTTCTTCCTGTAATCAGTGATCTAGCTTCACAATGACTTTATAGTGACGTCAAAGATGCAGCAAGATGCAAGTACAACTATTTAAGCTCCTTCCAAACTTCTCTGCTATATTGTATCTGTTACTATCCCATCAGCAGAAGCAACTCACAAATGCCCACAGTACAAATGATGCAAAGGCAAAGGTATATAACATGGTCCTTATAAGTTGAATTATATTTGGACCTATTCATGCTATGAATCACAAGAAGGCATGGTGTCTCTGACCTTTATTTTTCACACAATTTTTTGCTCTTTAATTCAGAGAATAAAAATACAAAGGATATTACCAGCCTGGTCTTGACCCCTTTGCTCATCACTCCTCCTTCTCTGCAACTGGATTCCAGTTCAGTTCAGTGTTTAGCTGTGGGTGTCTGCTTCTACTTCCATCAGCTGCTGGAGGAAGACTATAGGATGACATATAAATTTGTCAAAAATCTCATTATCAGGAGAGGGCATTTAAGGTAGCCTCCCCTTTGTTGCGTAGATTGTTAGTTGGTGCCATCCTTGTAGATCCCCAGACATTTCCCTAGTGCCTGATTTCTCTTTAAGCCTATAATGGCTCCCTCTATTATAGTATCTCCCTCTATTATAGAGTATATTGCTCTCCTCTATTCTTCCCCCAACTCAACCTTTCTGCTCCCTCATGTCCTCCCCACCCCTCAGAAACAGCTTACCTGAATAAGGGGGAGATATTTGGCCCCAGACTGATAGTTTCGAAACCAGCATGGGACTGATCCAGGCCCCATGAACTTGGGTGTCAGTGAGGAGGCCTCAGAAATATATGGGGCCTCTCTGTAGTAGATCAGTACTTATCCCTAGCATAGCAATGGACTTTGGGAGACCATTCCACATAGAGGGATACTCCCTGAGCCTGGACACATGTAGGAGAGCCTAGGCCCTATCCCAAAGGATATGACAGACTCTGAAGACCCCCTCCATGGAAGGCCTAACCCTTCATGGGGAGCAGAAACGATATGGGATAGGTAGGGTATTAGTTGGTTGGTCAGGGGATGAGGGGAGGGAGAGGGAACTGGGATTGACATGTAAAACAATCTTGTTTCTAATTTAACTTAAAATATGGAGAAAAAAATATAAAGGGTTTCTCAGTGAAAGTATGTTCAGAGACACCAAATGATTACCAGCAATCAAAGGAGAGAGAATTTACCATGCAATATAAATTAAATAAAAAGCTGACAACTGCTCTCATAACTTCATTAGAGAAAGACTCCTTCAATGCTCACTCAAATAGCCACAGAATTTTAGAACTGAAAAGGTCCAAGAAGTCATCCAGCTCAATTTCCTCATTTTCCCAATTCCCCAAAATATTGGCTGCACAAAAACTCCTGTTGGTGGACAGAATGAGAGCTAGACCTTAGACTGATCTTTTGTGCTCTTTTAGCAACCCCATATGAATTCTATATGCTACTTGAAGTATGATATTTTTTTCTGGTGAGAGCACTAATGTCACAATAATAGGAGTCCATGATTCTAAGAAGCACCATACTCTGCCTCCTAATAAATTACTATAATAAAAACCTAAGCACTGAAGGAGGTGATATGATATGTTCTTTATATGTCACAAACCCACTTAAAGAGACTCTATTTGCATTGGCATAGCCTTATTTTTATATTCCAGATTTGTGGCACTTAAAATTCTGTGTATAATCCTGTGCTGTTCTAAATGAGCTATTTCAAATTTCTTTCCTTCTTCAGAGCACATAGTCATATTATGAGTAATTAGGATAATTGGTTTTTCATAAACACCCTTTAACTTTATTAGTAGGGTAGAAAATATTGCACATCTCAGAGCAGATCATGTAAATTTTGCAATTACTTTTATACTTGAGTCACAAGACGAGAAAATTCCTGTTTGAAAAGGAGAAAATTTAAGGTCTATATCTGAAACACTTCAGTAACAATTGCACCAACCAAGGATCAAACATTTTCCCAAGTACTCATACCCAGTGTTGTTCTCAATAAAGGATTGCATATATGGTGTTTGGAACATTTGTTTTCCCCTACAGTAAGTTTTACTCTAAATATGTCCATAATTATTTATTGTAATTATTTAACAAGCTACCTTATAAATATTTATCCTATTTGACCTTGTTCTTTTGATACTATGCACTCTTCAGAAGAAGTCAGGCTAGTTTTTTGGGGAAAGAAAAGACATTTGTACATGAAAATTCCTATATGTATTATCTAGAGAAGCTGTGTCTTCCATATCAAAATACCTGATTTGCTATTGCTTCACTGGCTGTGGGCTCAGTACCACTGTGAAGTAACAGTGACTAACTGAGGAAGTGTTCACAGGATACATAAGGTAAGAAATGAAGATGACCTACACGATGGAAATTGCACCAGGAAACAGGTGATCAGGCACATACAAAACAATGTGAGTGATCACAGCATCTTCACAGGCTGGTCAGAAAGGTATGGCAAATGCTCATCTGCAAGGAGCCAAAGAATTCATATAAGAAGAAGGGATGAGAACGCAGCAGAAATAGCTCAGTTGGGAGAGCATTAGACTGAAGAATAAGGGATGAGCTAGAGAGGAAATGACAGGGCACCAGACTCTGTTCTTTCTAGGAATTTAAAACACTGCTGTACATTAGCAAGAAAACACTTGTAGAGATATAAATTCCCTGAGTATCTTTTATGTGTGTCAACATCTGTGTCCATGACTTCTGTAGTCATCCATCCTGGTGAGTGGTGACTGTGGTGACAACACGAAGCTGATAGTGCTGCCCTAAATCTTTAAATATGTAGACTTCCTGAATAGGCGCTGAAAGTTTGAACTCAAAGAGAATAAAACAAAGTAGAAACAAATGAGCACAAATCCATAATGTGATGTTAAGCACCTACCATCTAATTACAGCATGCAGGCACAGACAGGCCAGAGCCCAAAGTTCCATGTTGAAAAACAAGCTATTGAGAAAGGATCTTAGGAAGTGACATTCTGTGTCTTCCCTTATGTGGTTCCCTCAGATGTTTACATAGTATAATGTTCCTGTCTTGGTGACTTTTGCATTTGTGTGACAGAGGGACATGTTAGAGACACCTTTTAAAAGAAAAGGTGCATTTTATCTCATGGTTTCAGATGGTCTCCATCCACCTTGATGAGGAATACATGGTAATTTCAAGCCTCTGGGAACATGGGATACAGACTTCCCATCATAGTAGAACAGAAAGCAGAAAAAATTAAGGCAGACTAAGGGCCACGCAAATGTCTATCCCTCAGGTGACTTCTGCCATCTAAGCCCCACCTCCTGAAGGTCCACAGCCCCTTCCAACAGCTGGTGAGCTAGGCAACAAGCTTTCAAAACTCTATCTTGTGGGGGATATCTCCAATTCAATTCTTAACAGGTCCCCCATTTGAACTGAATGACTTTATTGTCCAAATTGCTTCAAAGGGTATTTCCTCCCCAGCTTCATCTTCAGGATGTGAGACTCTCTAAGGCAGCAAAGGATGCACCTCCCAAGATGTTAGCTCGTATTGTTAGGCAGTATTGGTAAAATATACATGGAATGCAAGATTCCTAATGAGTTGTTGGGTTAAGCTGTATCGCCATCAATGAAGACTTGGATAATTATTCTCCCAATATACTCATTAAGGACACAGAGTGGTAGTCCCTTTATAAAGCAGCCAAATTGATTTCTTAATTCAGTCATCAATGAATGCAGGCATCCAAATGCTTCTACATGAGCAAATATACTTGGGGGATCTATCCACACCCTCCAGTGAGCAGGCTTCTTTTCAAAGCATTTTGAAGACTGTCCTGCTGTCCTCTATAAGCCTACAAGTGTCTCACTTCAGGGAATAGTGTTTCAAGAAGAGATTCGGGTCGATTGCCTTCATCTAGGCAATTGTCTTTATGGCACTTACTTAGGAGCAGTGTTTATGCTTGTGCTGTTTCCAATGAGCTACAGTTAGCTACTGAGATGCCCTGCCAAAATGCTTTTCCTTCAAATGTTTCTAAAAGGTTAGAAGACACAATGTTTCCCTGGCTAACCATTAACTGTTTGGACCATCTTTTACCTGGCATGACAGGTGAAAGAGGACCTGGTTAGTGCGTTGCCCTGGAGTGCTAAGGCAACCTCAGAAAAACTGAGATTTGAGTTAAATAGCCTCTAAAAGTTGAGCTCTTAGAAAGGGCAAAATTTTGACTTGAAAGAATGTGTGGTGCTGCTATTAGTCGACAGCACAATAGGAAGAGGCCAAAAATAATGATGAGCAAAAAAAGAGTGGAGTGGAACAAGAGAAAGATTTTTTGTTCCATTTAAACAGATAAGCTGTTTTACCACCACCTTTGGCAAGATGCTTTCTTATATACTACTGGGTCGTAGCTACAGACTTTCATACACAAAATGCTATTCTCATTTTCTACCTAAACTATAATGTCCTTACCCATAGTCTGATGCATTATCCACTGGCCCTGCACATTATGTCCTTACAAAATCCTACTCTTTCATCCTCAGCTCAAATTCTGTCCTCATTGAGAAACAGTTCCTAAGCTCCTTCTAATTTCCTCAGTTCTAGTTCATTTAATGATTTGTTCATTTACATTCCTATTAAGGAATCACGTGTATTTCTCTTTGTGCTGCCAGCACCTGAAATAGGGTCTCTGAAAGACAGGGTGTAAACGT